TTTTTTTTTTTTTTTTTTTTTTTTTCTTCCTTCCAAGCAAGCAAAATCTGTCTGAAATAGAAATTCAAAATATTGTGTCTTGGTGACAATTTTGCATCACTAACATATGGCCTATGTTTCTTGTTCTAAATGGGAAGAAGGAAGTTAAAAAATTATTAAAAGTTTCTTGCTAAAACTTCTTTAATCTCTTTCTGATTTCCCTTCCAGTACATGGAGAAGGAAGATGCAGTTAATGTGTTGCAGTTCTGGTTGGCAGCAGATAATTTCCAATCTCAGCTTGCTGCCAAAAAAGGCCAGTACGATGGGCAAGAAGCACAGAACGATGCCATGATTTTGTATGACAAGTGAGAGAGTTCAACAATCTTTCGTTTCTTTATTTGTAGTTTTGTGTTGTGCTGTGCAAAAGGAACTTCTCTGCACTCTTGTGCTCCTCTGCTGAGGTGTATTTTGTCAAGGTGGCTTTTGATGTGTTTGTACACGTGACCTTTTCAAATTTTTTGATATACATGGGGAGAAATCCTTACAAGGATTCCATTCTTAAACATAATTCAGGATTTTCAGGACTCGGTATCTTGAGTTTGGTAGGGAAATATCAAAGCTGATTGGATGATGTGTAAAAATGGAAGGGGTTTAAGCCTAATAGCACTGCAGAAAAACCTTGATGTTCAGGTACTGTTAAAAGTAGGCTGTAGAAACTGTTCTCACATGCAATAAAAGCCAACTAGTGCTTGTTCTTAGTATTGCGAAATATTTCCTTTTTTTAAGGAAGCAATCAGATCCTTTTTAATATCAGACTGTCAGGAGATGAACTTTGTTCCTGTGCTTTGTGCTTCACTTTAGCAATAAGACAGCTGGGAGACAGACAGGATGACTGCTTCCAGGATATGTTTGTTCTTAAGCTTAAGTGTGAGGTTCTAACCTAACTGAGTTATTACCTAAGGAGGAAATAATGATTAGAGAGGAAGCAAATGCTTCACTCAGAGTTTCATCAGTTATTCCTCCAAACTTTAACTCCTTTTGCAAGGATGTGAGCAGTAGAGGCAATGCTCATTTGGAGTTCTGGGTGTTTCCTGCTCCATTCCTGTCTTCCATTCTCTGTTTTTGATCTGTGTTTCAGGGCAGGGCTCTCAGAACCATTTCTGGGGGGATCGGGGAGGGATGTCTCACCTGTAGTCGGTGGGGACCAGGTGTGTGCAGGTTTTTGCAGTGTCTGGGGGACAGGTGGGCACTGAGCACCTTCAGAGGTTTGCAAATCCTGTTTGTGTTGTTTCCGTGCCCTGCCCCAGGTACTTCTCCCTGCAGGCCACACATCCTCTGGGGTTTGATGACTCTGTGAGGCTGGAGATTGAATCCAACATCTGCAGGGAGGGGGGGCCTCTCCCCAGCTGCTTCACCACTCCCTTAAGGCAGGCGTGGACAACCATGGAGACGGTGAGATCCTTCTTCAGAGTGGGGTTCACACTTAGTGAAGGTGATGTGGAGATTCCTGATTTGTCCCGTTTCTTTACTGACTTCCTGTTTACCTGGATAATAGAACAGCTTCAGGAAAATCTGCCAGACTCTTTTCCCCATCCCGATTTGAAGCTACCACCCACTGGCTGCTGTTAATGCTCTGTGAAATGTTTGTCTCGGGTGATTATTGCAGTTTAATGGAAGTAACAGAATTTCCTCCCATGTGAATTGCTATCAACAGCTTATTTTATATCTTTAGAAAATTTTCCTTCCTCTTTGTAGGAGTTGTTTGCAAGTCTAATAGAAGTGCTGTGGTTAATAATGTAACTCTGGGATACCCAGATACCAGAAATGAATGATTTGATTCAGAAGCTGCAGAGAATTGTGAACAGTGAAACAGAATAACTGTAAAGCCAGTTGGGCTGTCAAGCTTAACTTTCTAGAGGGGAAAAAGAACCCTGAACTTCAGTTCCAGTTACTGGGGGATTTGATTAATAGGCAGTTGGGTTTGTTTTACAGTAGGATTAAAATTTAAAACAAGGCAGTTGCTAATCCACAGTAATTCCATGCATGGATGCTTTCACTTGTGTTCCATCTACACAAGGACTGAGAGTTTGTGTGCTCTTCTCTAACTATGCAGACCAGCCTTGATTAAAGATGACTTTTTGTCTCTCAGGTTTTCCTACCTGGTTTCTTGTCCAGCAACCTTTACTACAAATACTTGAATGACCTCATCCATTCAGTACGAGGAGATGAATTCCCAGGAGGGAACATTGCACTGAGTATTCATGGCCCTGGCAGCTCTCCTGACAGTGATTCCATAGGGAGCATGGATGGCTCTGCCTCTCAGGTACCAATTTGGGTTTTCTGTGTCAATATCCAAGCTTTTACCCTGTAAGGAAACACCATTCCACTTTCATTTAAAACCTGTGTTGTGTTAGGATGTGTTTAATCTACCTGCAGCTCAGTTCTGTCAGAAGTGTCTCTGATATTAGTTGTACCCAAAGCCTTGTGCTGCTGTTACTTCTTTACATCAGTGGATGTCTTTATTAAGCTGCTACTATTACTGAAGACTTTTTCATGATGCCATAATATCTAAGAATGCTTGTTATTAGAAATAATATTATTTTGTCAATACCATTGGTAGAGCTTCAGGTGAAAATTGACACTTATGAATATGCTATCAAATTTAAATATAAACATATGAGCTTTGTGTGCTCAGTTCTTCTAAAGTGCCAGATCTTCTGTCCTGAAATGAGTAAACTCATTTCCAGGGCTGAAGGCATCAATCTGGTTGAACACAGAACAGGGCAGTTTGGAAACTGCAAGCCCAGCTGAGAGCAGAAGAGTCAAGCGAGAGCTGCTTGTATTGAACTCTGTAGGGCTACCCTGAGCTTCAAATCCAGTATCTACATCATTGTTAGTCATGTCCTGGCTTTCCAGCCACTTGGAAGCTGTATTACCTGCTTGTACTATTTTTAAAACTCCTAATTTGCAGGGAGGGAATATTCCTTCCCTTGTTGTGAAGTGGGGAATAAAATCTGTGTTCTTGAAGCCTCCTGCTGCTTGATCCTCTGAGCAGGAGGAACTGCTGGTAATTGGCTGGGCAATTTAGGAAATGAGGTGCTGCTTTCTGTGGTGTGCATTCCTACTTGTCTGAATAGGAGAATCTCTGGGTCTCTGCATATTTTTGCATAAAGAGCAGCAGGAAAGGAGCTGCCATCCGTGTTCCTGTTCCGTGCTGAGGCGATAATGGATCGCTGTGTGTTGTGCCCTCCTCCCTGCTGTTGCTCTGATGTTTCCTTGGCTTTTTTTTTTTCATCATCTTATATAAATACTCCAGGCCAGAAGATAAATGTTTGTTCTCTGTGCATGGGGGAGGCATCTATGTTTGGGAATTGCTTACCAAGAGCAGGAGAGGGATGCTCCAGACTCACAACAAATGATTTTCAAGCACACAGTAATCTGTGGAGCTGATAATGATCAGAGAGCAGCGTGTGCTGACCTGGGCTTTGTGTCTTGGGCTCTGTCCACAGAACTTTATCATCCTCTGCTAAAAACAGTGTCCTATGAGTTGGGAATTCAAGGATGTGTAGACACACTAATTCTTTTATACTCTTGCTTAGAGAAAGTTTTGTTAAGAAGCTGGTAGTTGTCTGCATTGGGCACTAATACTTAGAATTTTTATTTGTAGTCCAATGTCAAAAAGGCTAATGTTAAAATCCTGAAAAATTTTGATGAAGCAATAATTGTAGATGCTGCAAGTCTGGATCCAGAGTCTTTGTATCAACGAACATATGCAGGGTAAGGTTCATTTCAGTGTACTGTTTCCTTTCTAGTTACATGTTTCACCTCTGTTTCATTTTTGCTGTGTCCTCCTGCATGGAGAGTAGGCCTAAATGCAAGATCTTAGTCCATGTCTTAATATTTGAACTAAATTTATTTCAAAAGTGTGATTTAACACCCAATGAATGTTTCTTTGACCAAAATGGCAGCCAGGAAAATATTTCTAATTGGTTTTTCTCTTCCTCTTAGTTACTGTTCCTATTTGATTCCAAAATATAGCCAAGTATATAGCCACATACAGCTTTCCATAATGCCAGGATTCTTTTGATCACCCACATGGTTCTTCACTCCTCTCCTCAGGAAGATGACGTTTGGAAGAGTCAGTGACCTGGGGCAGTTCATCAGAGAATCTGAACCAGAGCCTGATGTCAAAAAATCAAAAGGTTTGCTTTGCTCTTTCTCTCCATTTTCTCCATTTCTGTAAACATCTGTTCTCTTCCCTGCTGGAATTAAGATAGGCAAAGTGTTTGACTCTTTCCAGATCTGTTTTAAGCCAAATAGAGATGCTGTGGGAGATTGGCCTATACTGAGGAAAAACCCATCTCTGGCCCAGTTTGCTTTCCAAATTCTGTTTTTCTGGTCCAGCTGGACTCTGTGGAGCACGAGCAGCCTGTGGGAGTTGGAGCTCGATGGAACCTGGCAGGGATGGAAGCGTCAGCAGCTGAGCTGGTGATCAAAGCTTTGGTCTTGAGATGAAAAAGAACTGCAGCTCTCCACACGCTTCCCACCCAGGCTGGAACCTGCGGCTGGTGCTGCTTTTCAGCTCTGGGAAAGGCTCAGTGTCCACATGGCTCCAGGCAGCCCCTTCTTTCCTGCCACTCCTCCATGTCCTGAATGCCAGCAGAGCAAACCCTTCAGAAGGGTGACAGGAATCAGCCTTGTACCTCACTTTGCTGACATACCTTGCTTGCTGTTTTTATCTCAACCAGGGTCCATGTTTTCACAAGCAATGAAGAAATGGGTTCAAGGAAATACAGATGAGGTGTGTTCCCTTTCATGTTCTTCTTGTAACTTTACACTTCAGAGAAATAAAGTATTGATATTCTTAATCCTGGCTGTTATCTCTGAGTATCTTTTTGCTGCACCAAGAACAGGGAGACTCTGTGTGCTAAATATAATTTGATTGCATGTATGTGTGAAACTAGTTTGCTCTTCTCCAGTACTTGCTGGTTGAACTAATTAAGTGTGTGCTTGCAGTCAGGTTTTTCTAACTGTGGTTTTATATACCTGTAAGTAGGGGTGTAAGAAGTGCTGTTTGATTTTTTTTTATGGTGAAGTGACCACTTCACATGGATTCCAGGCTGCATTTTTCCTCCTCTGAGGGGCTTGGACAAGTCCCCAAGAGATAAATCTAAAATCTCCACTAACTCTCTTGGAAACTTCATCAAGCCTTAAGTACAATAATTGAAGTTAACACTACTTGGAAGCAAGGTGCATTTCCATTGAGGGAGGATATGTTTCTACAAGTTATGGAGTTGTGAAGTTTACCTTGATTCCAAGGCTGTGCTGAGAGCATTGTGTTTTTCTTTTAAGAACCTGAAGCTATCTATGTTTTGGGCTGTGTTTTTCAGGCTCAAGAAGAGATGGCTTGGAGGATAGCAAAGATGATTGTCAACGACGTCATGCAGCAGGCGCAGTGTGAGCAGCCTTTGGAGAAGGTCACCAAGGTAGGGGGGTGGACAGGCTGCTGTCTTCATCTGGCTCCAGTCAGGCTGTGGGAGGAGCAGAGCTCTCACTTGCCTTCCTCCTGTGGCTGAAACCCACGCTGGTAAATTTTCAAACCAGCAGAGCATGAGAGGAAGAAACAAAGGTTGGAAGTGTTTCGGCCTACGTGTGATGTAGGAATTTCTTAACAGATGCCTGTGGTGGTTCTCCTGTGCAAGCAATAAACTTAGCTTGAGTCTGCAAACTACGTAATTAGTTAAAAGGGTGATCTGTGCTGCAGGATGAAGTGTAATTCCTTACTTGAGCTCACACTTGCTGTGTCCTCTTAGTCAGTGGTATTTCTGCTTGAAGTGTCAGTAAAACTCAACAGCTGTCAATTTGTCTCACTGGGTGCTCTCATTTATGCATTTCTGTCTCCAGACTTCAAAAAGACACAGTAACCCTGTCCATAGGTTTGGTTAGTGGCTGCATTGTTATACAGCCCATGTGCTCTCTGTCTAAACACCGGTTCTGAGGTAGCAGTTGGATTTTGTGATATATTGGTGACAGCAGGTTACCAAATTAATGTCTGGTACTTCTGACTTTCGAGCATGTGAGTTTCTAAAAATTAACTTGAATTATGTTCAGTTCTTGAAGGTAAACATGTACCAAAGCCCAGTTATTTGATCCAAATGGTGGATCCATGGATTCACTGTGTGAGTGTTTTCTTTCTAATAGAGCAGTAACATTTAAGTGACTTGTATAACGATTTCACTTAATAGCTTGTCTGCAAATGATACAACTCCAGTCTGCCTGGATGAAAAGGTCACTCAGCACAGTATTTAGAAATCTCGAATGGCTGCAGATGCTCTGGATTCAATTAAGCAAGTAATCAAAAGGTTGAGTGTATTTGGATTAGGTTTTGGGATTTTTTTCTCCCCCAAACTCAAACAAACCTAGCTTCAATGTTTTTAAACATGAAACGTCTTTCTATTGAGCAATTATTTTGCATGTTTTAGGGTAAAATGAACTATTTTTCCCTTTTCCAGCTATGATTTTAGAAACTCCAGGACAGAAAATCTGGTTTTCCACTTTGAGAATGAGTGAACTTTCTCTATTGGTGGATTCTTTAACACAGCCAATAAAAACAAAGCACTGTTACTCCAACCGCTGGAATCTCCCTCATTTCTAAGGAAGAATGAAAAAGAAGCAATCCTGGACCTCCACTGCAGAGAGTGAAGAAACACTTTTCCCTGGAGCATGTGGCATTCACAGTAACAATGGTTCTAAGATGAAGATGCAGTTTACGAGAAACTGTGATCAACTTCACAAATACTTGACCTGTCTCAAAAAAAGACTTTTAAGCAAAATATCTGGAATGGGACACAGAGGCCACAACAAAGGGGAAGGTTGTGGTGCAGTTTCTAGTTCTACTGCTTGTAGTTTTTAAACACAGAATTGGAAGGGCTGTGAGGCGAATCCATTGGCAGTGAATGACCTGGAAAGTTCTAAGTTTCATTTTCCATTACTTGAAATAGATGAGTATTCACCTGTAAGATAAATGTATTTTACTGCATAACTGCATTAACTTTAAAGGCAGTGTAGAAGGGTCAGGAACTCCTCCTTGTTGAGCTCCTACACCTGCACACACACACACACACACACACACCTCCCCTGCTTCTACCACAGAGCAGATCTAAGGCTGGTCCTGCAGCCCCTCTGCTCTCACCTTCCGAGCAGGTTGGACCCTGCAGACTGCTCCACTTCCTGTCCTCACCATCCCATGAGCAATGAAAAAAGGAATTGCTGCCATTCTCCATCGCTTGTTGTCCTCCACCCAGCGTAGTATCTAATTCCAGATGTTTGGTTTACAAAGAAAAACAATTTTTAACGCCCTCTGGCCTTCTTCCTGACACTGTCAACACTTACCATGTTACACAGCACCTCTCTTTTTTTTCCCCAGCAAATTGATTTTGCAGGGTAGCAGAAGTACTCAGTGTCTCACCATTATGTTACTGCTGCATTTTTAGTATATGACACTTTTATTTGGGGTCTTTTTTTCTTTTTTTATTCTAATGATTGCTTTTTTCCTCAAACTCGTGCAAAGAAATCACTATGTGAAGAACTCAAATCATTTCCAATGTTCAGAATATCTTGATTGACTAGAAAGTGTCATTCTGTTGCAATATTTGATTGTATAGAGACACACTGTATTGTTATGAAAAAGCAAAAAGGCTGTGTATAGGTTTTTGGTACTATGTACCACCTCTTATTTCTCTCATACCCAAGCATTCATGTACTTAAAACATACTATATTTAATTGTGTTTTGATTTAAAATATATAAGTATTAAAATTTGTGTTGATTTTTCTGTTTTCATGGGGTTTGAAGTTACATGGGATGTTTTTTATGTGAGTTTTAGGGGTAATTTTGTCCACATTTCTTAATGGATTATGTTAATGGCAGTGTGGTAAATTAGAGTAATTCTTATTTAAGTAGTAAATAAGGTGTTCAGTCACAGGACTTGGCAGAAGTTGGGCTGGAAAAGGTTTAAAGGGGCAGGGGTTGGTCCTGAAGTATTGAACCACATTAAACTCGTGCACCCCTGCCAGTTTCCCCCCTGGGTGGGATCCCGACTAATCCTGGGCGTTTGGGGATTACAAGTCCCAGATTTGGGTATGGACATTGCTCAGGGCTGCGTTTCCTTAACCCTTGGGCCGGACTGAATGTGAAAGGCTCGGTCTATCTTGAGTCGTTTTGGCATCAAATCCCTGAGGTTTTAGAACCGCGGTGAGCTCCGTGCGCGTGGGGCCCTCGGGAGTTGTCCCTGCGGGGCCTCGAACCCGCGGCCCCGGGGCGAGCGCGGCGCTCCCCGCCGGCCGCCAGGGGGCAGCAGCGCCGCGCTCGGGCGCTCCCGCCGCTTCCGGCCCACGTGGGGCGCGCGCGCACATGGCCGCGGTGAGCGGGAGCGGGATCGGGATCGGCATCGGCATCGGCAGCACCTGGAAGCTGCTGCGGCGTTCCGGGGTCTTCTCGCCCTCCCCTGGGGTTCCCCCGCGCGGCTCCTGCTCAGTGCGGGGGTTTCTCTTTCCCACGGGCCCTACGCGGTGTCCCCTCTGAAGAGGTTCCTTCTCCCCAGGCGGGTGTCGCTGCCGGGCTAGGCGGCTGTGCCCGCTGCCCGGTGGGACTCGGCGCTGAGCCCGCTATCCCGCAGAACATGTCGCCGGACGAGGAGGATGTGCAGCGGCTCCTGATCCAGTTCCGCGATGAGGCAGGGGAGTGCCTGGGCTCCCCCTTCGACGTCCCGGTCACCATCACTCCGGACAAGCTGCAGCTGGTCTGCAACGCCCTCCTACAGAAGGTGAGACCCCTCCCGAGCTCCCCGGCACCCCCAGCCCGACCCGGCGCCGCCCCTCGCTACCTCACCTGCCCTGTCTCCCGCAGGATGAGCCGGTGCCTCTGGCCTTCTTCGTCCACGATGCCGAGATCGTGGCGTCGCTGGAGAAGACCCTGGCAGGGCAGAGCGTGGAGACAGAGAAGGTCCTGGACATCATCTACCAGCCGCAGGCTGTGTTCAGGGTGCGGGCCGTGACACGCTGCACAAGCTCCCTGGAGGGACACACCGAGGCCGTCATCTCCGTGGCTTTCAGCCCTACGGGAAAGTACGAGGGTCTGGCTGCAGGCAGGCATCAGGGTGCCCTTGTCTTGTCATGGGGACACTGTACTGAGCTGTTCCTCCTCTCCCAGGTACCTGGCAAGTGGCTCTGGAGACACCACTGTCCGCTTCTGGGACCTCAGCACGGAAACGCCACAGTTCACGGCCAAAGGTGGGTGCTGGGATGTGCCAGGAGGGCAACTTGTGACCCCCTCCCTCATGGACCCCCTGTCTGCCTTGGGGGACAAGCAGAGCCTGATGCTGTTTGAGCTGTCCAGGCTGGGACTGCAGCATGGGGAGGAAGTAGCTCTCTTTGGCAAAGTGGAAACAGAGGGGCTGGCCAGGAGGAGCACAGAGTGGCTTCATGCTGGGACACCAGGGACAGTCACAGCTCACTACTCACAGCCACTCATGCTCTCTCTGCCAGGTCACCGGCACTGGGTGCTCAGCATTGCTTGGTCACCTGATGGGAAGAAACTGGCCTCGGGCTGCAAGAACAGCCAGGTACACGTGGGCTCCCTCAGCATGGGGCTGGGGGGAATTAGGGGTGAAAGGCTTGTTTCTTCAGGGGTGTGAGTGGTGTATCCCATTTTTGGAGCACAATTCCCATTCCCCAGAGGAGCTTTGTGGACGTGTCGTGGTATTGCGAGAAACATCTCTGTGCCAGCTCTGACATTGTCACCCGGGGGAGCTCTTGCTGCTGAGTCCTGCTGTCCCGTGGCAGACGCTTTTCCCTCCGTACTGGGAAGAGTCTAGGCTTTGGATGTTGTCATTGGCAGGTGCCTCCATTACGAGGGAGGTGTCTGGAGTGAGGACAGGTCAGGGCTGCTGTTACCGTGTCCTAGCCGTGCTGCAGCAGCCTGGTCACAGTGTTCCCACACAGACACAGCCAAATTCCATCTTGCAGGATCATGAAGGGAGTTCAGCCCCCGCTGTGGGGCAAAATGGTGTTTGAAGTGCAGAAATGCCTGGGGAAGCAGGAGCATGTGGTTAAATGGGAGCTGAGTGCTAAGGGGCAGTTGCTCTCTCTGACCTTTGAATGGTCTGGGAATAATGACAGCACTCACAGAGCTGCCAAGGTTATGATGCCAATCCCAAGGAAATGTCCTGGGCCAGAGTGGTTCAACCATGGTTTAGTGCTGGTCTGCCTCTAATTGAACCCAGAGAGCTGCTTGTCCTCCTTTTCCCTATTTCTCCCAGGTTCTTAAGTAGGAGATGACTAATGCCTTGGCTCTTAAGATGAACGTTTATGTAGAGAGAAATCAACAAGAGAAAACCAGCATGTGTCCCACCCACAGCATCCGATAATCAGCAGCGTTTAGCATGCTGTGGCTTTCATTGTGCTCTGGAAACATTCCCTGAGTCTCTGACATGGGGTGGCTTTTGGGGGGCCTGTATCCTATTTGAGTTGAGTCAGATAACTTTGTAGCAGCAGCATTGTAGGCAGACAGGAGGACAATCCTGTCTCGTTCTTTTGGGTGTCAGCTGATTGCTGCAGGGATTTGGAAAGGCATCCAGCCCCCATCCCCTGCTGCTGCTGTGTGTGCAAACACGATCCCAAGGACACCTCTCCTTTCTAAATGGAGCTCCAACGTCTCTGGGATTCACATGATGTCTGTGGCCTGACGCAACCCTTGTGCTTCCTCTCTTGGACAGATCTTTCTCTGGGACCCAGCCACTGGCAGCCAGATCGGCCGGGTGCTCTCTGGCCACTCCAAATGGATCACATGTCTGTGCTGGGAACCGCTCCACATGTAAGTGAAGAGGCCAGCTCAGCCCTCCTATGGAAAAGAGCAGCCTGACCCAAAGGGCATTGCTCCTGTTTGCATTTCTCCTGTTACAGGAAAAAGCCTGTGTAGAACAGCTCTCAAGGTGAGCTGGGAAGAATGTGTGCAGTTGAGAGCCAGGAGTCCCAGCTGCTGCTCACAGTCCCCATGAATTGCTGGGGAATCACTGCCAGGCTGTGTGTCTTTTCCCCTGGGAAAGCTCTTTTCCTGTCTGTGGAAAACACTGCTTTTGTGGTGCTGGACAAACACTGATGTGCTGCTCCAGCAATGCTGAGGTGGGAGCAGGGAGGCCTGGTGGTGTCCAAGGGCAGAGCACTCCTTTCTGCTCCCCTGATCCTGCTGGCCTCTGTCATCTCGTTTGTTTATCATGAGGGATGATTAACTGTACAATCCCCTTATCCCTTCGATCAGCTAAACCTCCCTCTGGAAGAGGTGGGTGGAGTGGGACAGTTGTAGCCATTAATCCAAGATGTTAGAGAAATAAATAAAAAAGAAAAAGGGTCCCTTCAGAGCAGAACCCTGCAAATTGAATTTGCCAGTAGGAAGCTCCAGCTATTTGCAGACAATTAACTGGATTAGCAAAAAAATTATTGTAAGGAAGATGAAGAAATGGAGAGACATGACCCTGCCAGGGCTGCAGCCAGTTCCAGTGCAATGGGAGGGGCTGTGCTCTTCCTCACTGCTGGTGCCACCATGCTGAGTGGTAAAGATGTTCAAAGGACAGAGGATTGTGGCCAGCTGCTTCCAGATGTGTTCAGTTTTCCCCCTGAGCCACAATGCATATGGATAGACATTGCTCCTTTCAGCCCTGTCAACACAGCAGCACTCTGTCCACAGGCTGGAGATGAAGCATGGCAGAGGCAGGGGAGCATCCAACACATTCCCAATGCTGGGGATCTGTTCTCCCTGTGTAAAGCTGATCCCCTGCCCAAGGCTCTCTCCAGCCTGTGTCCAGGGAAGGTGGCAGTTTGTGGTGACCTCGTTAGTCAGTGGGTTAAAGCTGTGCAAACAAGGTCATTGCCAAGGCCTCAGATGCCAGGTTTACCCTGGACTGATTTCTCCAATGTGCAGCCCAGGAGTTGGTTTGGAGGAAGCATTTATCTGCCTCTCCCCTGCCTTGTGAGACCTTGTTCTCTGTAGGTCAGTGCTCTGCACCTGTCTGGCCTCTTTCTGATCTGAAGCCAAAGGAAAGTTGCATTTTGTTGCCTGCTGGACCTTTGAATTCTCTGGGGCTGGTGGGGAAGGAGCTCAGGCAAGCTGCACAAATGGATTTGATCTCTTTGCCCAGAAACCCGGAGTGCCGTTACCTGGCCAGTGCCTCCAAGGACAGCAGCATCCGCATCTGGGACACGCTGATGGGCAGGTGTGACAAAATCCTCACAAGCCACACGCAGTCAGTGACCTGTGTGAAGTGGGGGGGTGATGGCTTGCTCTACTCCTCCTCCCAGGACAGGACCATCAAAGTCTGGAGGAGCCAGGATGTAAGTGAGGAACTGCCCTTGGGCTGCTGGCAAAGGGGGCTGGGCACACTGTGTGGTAGCTTTGTTTGCTCTTCCTGGCACAGCTTGTACCCTGAAAAACAGAGCTGCTGTATCTCCTTGACCTGTCAGACCTGTTGCTTGGCACCATTTGCAAGGGGTAGCTGCTGTGTGATGTTTTCATCCTTAAGAGCATTAAATGGGGCTAAAAGCTGGAAACTTCCCTGGAGCATCACCCTGAGGTGATGGGTGTTGTGCAAGGGAAGCTGATTCCTGAAACTCAGCAGTGTTGTGTCTTCCCTGCTTAGCCTGCCTGCAGCTGGAGCAAGCAGGTTTGGAAAGTCTGGGGTTGCTTCTTGCAGCCCGGTGGGTCTGGTGGGTGCTGTGCAGCCTGGCTGTGTCCTGCCTGTCCTGTCACTGTCTGAGGGTGACTTTGTCCCCAGGGGGTCCTGTGCCGCACCCTGCAGGGCCACGCTCACTGGGTGAACACCATGGCCCTGAGCACCGACTACGTTCTCCGCACTGGAGCCTTTGAGCCAGCCGAGGCCACCATCAACCCCCAGGATGTCAGAGGCTCCTGTGAGTACAGCACACACCTTGGAGGCTGGGGGAGGACTGGTCATGCTGGAAGTCAAGATTTTTCTTGCCCATGCCAGGGTGGAGCAGTCTGGGGGATAGGGAGGTCACTCTGTTTTTCCAGGCGTTGCTCCCAAATTGCCTTTGGCAAATGGAGCAATCACAAATGCTCCTGCTCAGAGCCAGGACTGGAATTGGCATAACAAGGTTACAAAGTTTCTTTTCATCTAAGGATTGCCAATCTCTATTTCACACTCCTTTTCCCTTTTTCAGTGTCAGAAATCAAAGACAGGGCACTGCAGAGGTACAACCAAGTCCGGGTAAGTCCCTCTTGTCCCTGCTGTCACTGGTGAAAGCAGTGGACACCCCCACACTGGTGTGCTTCCACAAGCTCTCCACACGCTTCCACAAGCTTCCACAAGCTCTTTCATCCCTTTTTCAGGGCCAGGAACCAGAAAGGCTCGTCTCGGGGTCAGATGATTTCACCCTGTTTCTTTGGAGGCCAGCAGAAGACAAGAAGCCACTGGAGAGAATGACAGGCCACCAGGCATTGATTAACCAAGTCCTGTTCTCACCAGACACCCGGATAATAGCTAGTGCTTCCTTTGACAAGTCCATAAAGCTCTGGGATGGTAGGACAGGAAAGTGAGTTGGTTTGTTCTGTTAGAGGTGGTGCTGCTTTGGAGTCTGTGTGTAATGTTCAGGGCACACAGGGCTGGGTCCCAGTTCACTGCCAGCAGCTCACTGGTTTGTTCAGCATCTCTGTAGCCCCAACTCATACAAAGTCACTCTGCTGCCTCTGCCTTTTTCTGCCCACGGGAAGTCTCTTGTCTGGCTTTTCTTGTGTCGGGGTGTCTGTGCTTGGCTCTGTGTGTGCAGTCCCACTGTGACTCAGCCACAGCACTGCCTGGCACCTGTGTGCACACCCTGTTGCTGCAGGGTCAGTTCTCCAGGGCAGGCACAGCTGTGGTGGGATGGGATGTTCCACTCCACTGATCTCCTGAAGATGTGTGTGTTGGGAACTGGAGACTGACCCAGTTTAAACAGTTCTTGTGCCAGAGAACAGCTTGTTCTGGATGATGCAAATTCTTGTAGTTACAAGTAGTTGGTATTTGGATGCTCCTGTAATCCAGCTTTTAACTTTCAGCTGCAGTACTGGTGAGCTCTTGGAGGCAGCAGTCCTCCCTTGCAAACCAGTCTTAATGCTCATGAGCTTGACTTTCATGTCAGTGTTTTTAAAGGTCCTAAATCTGGGCTGCTCAGTTGGGGAGGGAAGGACACACCTGTGCAGTGAGGCTGAAGTGTTGCCTGCTGGCTAAAGGTTTCTTGGCAGAGGGGGTGAGGTGAAGAGGCATCCTCTAGAAGGTTCTGAGCCCACTTGGGAAGGTTTTTGGATGGACTCTGTCTAGCAATGAACTGCCTGGAGTGTGCTGGGCATCCTGTGACTGTGCTGGTGGAGAAGAAGCATGAAGGCAAGGGCAAGTTTGGAGCAAAGCCTGCTGCTCTAACAGCCTGTCCTTGTCCCCAGGTACCTGACATCACTGAGGGGCCACGTGTCAGCCGTGTACCAGATTGCCTGGTCAGCCGACAGCCGCTTGCTGGTGAGCGGCAGCAGCGACAGCACCCTCAAGGTCTGGGATGCCAAGACAAAGAAACTGGCCATCGATCTGCCTGGCCATGCGGATGAGGTGAGCTGCGTGGTGGAGCTGAGATGTTTGGGAGGCGGGAGGGACCCCTCCTCCCAGCAGAGGTGACTCATTTCCACCACACCAGGTGTATGCAGCAGATTGGAGCCCGGACGGACAGAGGGTAGCGAGCGGAGGGAAGGACAAGTGTCTGCGGATGTGAGTAACCTGTTTGTCCATGAGGGTGTTGCAGCTACTCCAGGTGTCCCTCAGAGCCACAGTGCCCTTGCAGAGATCTGTGTGGTTAGGGCATGATCTTCCAGAGAGCACAACACCAGGTCAAATTCCAGCTTGGAGACCTGACCTCTCTCAGGGCAGGAACTGTTGCTGGGAGATAACTAGAAAAGCAGAGCCCCTCCAGCCAAGCAGTCAGGATGAAATTTGACTCAGATATTTTGATTCCTGGAGAGGGGAAGGAACAGTTGTACCAGCTGGTCAGGTCTTACTTTCTGACCTTCTTCCTTCTCCCAGTTATGCAGACAAATTCCTGGAGCTGGTTGCCATTTGACTGACCCCAGGTCCCCTTGCTGCTGCTCTTGTCTGGTGCCTTCTGGGCTCTGTGGCAGAGCTGGTGGCCCACCACAGGGACACAGCAGCTCTTTCCTTTTCCAGATGGCGTCGATAGGAGCAGTGACATGGAGCCGCTGGTCCTGCCCTCAGCACAGTCCTGGGAGATCTCCAAGGTGATGGATGAAGAGATTGACCCAAACATGGCTCTGCGTTCCCGTTGGCAACTCTCCCTCGTGGGCTCTTTCCTTATATTTATTTAAGGAAATTTTAATTTTAGTTCTTATTAAGAGCTGTGCATTGCAGGATGATTTCCTCTGAACATCACAGGAGGGATATCTCATCTGCCTCCATCTCAACTGGCTTTTTATTGGAATTTAGCCTCACAGTAGCCATGGTCTTGAAAGGGGCAAGCAAAGGGTGGAAACTGCTCGTGCCCTTTCTTGCTCTGTGAAGAATCCTGTGGAGAAGAGGGTTTTAGTGGGAACAGAGAGGGTTGTCCTTGTGTGGCCTTGAGAGAGAGAAAAACTGTAAAATTCAGCACAACATTACACTGCAGAATTGTGCTTGGCTGCATGTCTGGGACAAAGATCTGCTGGGAATGAGGACCTGGGGCTTCTCGTTATTCCAGTGAAGTTTTGTTTTTCCACACAGCCCCGCTTCCCTGTGGGCTGTGCTTCGCATTATCTGCCAGTGATCCTCTGCATCCACAGCAGATAACTCCTTTGCTAATCTGTTCATGCAGCAGGCATGGACTTCAAATGACTGCTGGAGCTGTGCTGAGTTTTCAGGTTTCAACAGCTCTTGGGAGTGGGGAAGTGAGACTCTGAGCAGGGGAGAAAGTGTCCATTTCCCATCCACCACTGGCTCAGGGGGAAGGAAGGATAGGGTGGGGAAGGGGAAGAATGGAGCAGGATTTTTGTATGGCACTTGTCCCTTGCCCTGGATATGTGCTGACAGCAGGGCTGAGACAGACAGAGAAAGTGGCCATATTTCCATTGCACAGAGCTGGCTCCTTCTGGAATTTCTCAAGTGCATTTACTTGCCCAGTGGGTGAGAGGGATTCACACTGTCAGCTGGGTATTTGCAAGTTTGCTTATGAGCCTTTTTATCAGTCAATTAATGTTTCCAGCCATCATGTGGTGAATAGACCTGGACCAAGTGTTTATTTCTAGGATGCTTATGAAACAGAGAAAATCAAGATATGATTAATAAGGAGCAGAAATTACTGTCAGATTTAGTTGCAGCAAGTTAGCATGACGGTCAAAACATTCTCCATAGCCCTCATACGCAGTGATTACTACAATTCAACAGGAGTTTGGGTCTCAGATGCTTCCCAGATGCAGAAGATGCATTTTAGGACTTTATCCCTGCTGGCAGGATTGCTTTGGAGAATTAAGATTGTGCAGTAATGGCCTTTTGCTTGTCTGCAAGAGTTCAGGTGAGCCAAAGACTGCAACAAAATCTTTAACATGACTGAGAAGACAATTTGTGGTTCCTGTTGCTGTTGGTATCTCCTTCTGCCAGCCAAGTCAGCAGGATCTATCTCTATGGGTTCTTCTGGGAAGAGCTCAGGATCCCATACCTGCTCTTTCATTATGGTGCTTCCTCCAGCTGGTTCTTGCTGACAGTGAAGCCACGTTGCATCCATCTGCATAAACAAAGCCTTTTGTAATTCACTGAAGTAAATGTGGGAGTTTATGGGTGTTTTAAAACCAGCTGGTAAGTTAGCCCTTGGGAAGAAGAGGAGCAGGTCACTGGTAACAGCCTAGAAGCCTGCCTGGTTTCCAAGTGTTTTGGGGTGCTTGTGCTGAAGGAAATGACTCACCCTCAAGAGTTCAGCTCCCTGTCCCCAAGTCTGACTTGCTGCAAGCAGCAGCTCCTGGTTTCAAATAGCTCTTCCTGAGTGAAGAACCATCATTCTCTGCTTCCTCCCCTGCAGTGCTGCTCAGGGTCAGTGTGCCCTGTCAATCTATGGTGTGTTTGTGTTGGAGGCAGGGATGTATCAGAGCTCAGGGAAGCGATCCTGCCTGTGGGAACTTGGCTTGGCATTTGTGTAGGTGTACCTAAAATATCAGTGTACCTTGCCCACTGATTTCCAAACCAAAGTAATCACTGTGCCCTCTGACCATGCTCCTGCCATCCCTTCAGACTCTGCTTTCTGTGACATAAAGCCTGAGTAAAACCCACCTTTCTTTCTAATGCTGGAGCAGAAAGGTTTTCCAAAGGGAAGTGAGACTTCTTGAAGAAAGAGAGGGCCTTGCAATTAAGTTTACACCAAAATAAATTCTCAGCCTTAATCTTCCAGTGATCTGATAGCAGATAGATTTTTGAACCACGCTCTGTGATGGCTTTGCATGTAAACCAAATTGTATTTTCTTATCTAAGCATCTGCTGCTATTTTTACCATTCATACAGCACCAGCCTTCATGCATACTAAGTGCTGGCCCTGCTCCAGCTATATTCCTAAGCAATTCCCTAACACTCCTCCCTCCCAGTTTTATTTGAATGCGGCATTTCCCGGGCCTGGCTGCAGTCTCCTGCCTGCTCAGGCACCAGGGAAGGAAAAGCTGCTGCCCTTCCCTCTAGAGCTGGCTTCTGCTTGGCAGGAACTGCAGCGATCGCGTGACCTCCCTCGCTCCACCGGCACTGGGGATGGGAGCTTCAATTAGCTAATTTGGGCAATTGCAGATGCAAATTTGGGTTGATGGCGTTATTAATGGGGAACACCTTACGTTGTGTTAAAGGACAAATCTAGGAGGTAGGCTGGAGCTTTCTGATTGCTTTTCTGGGATCAGCAGCACCAACCTTACAGAAAACCTACAGAAATGCCTGAGCTTTTCCAGTGCTGTTTGACAGGAATCCTGGGATCTGCTTCCATGTTTCAGTCCAGTTCCTCCCGAGTTATTCATTAAGCATCCTACACAGGTTTTCTTACCACAAGGGCCTTATTTTTCACTGGTAATACAAGAATAATTTTAAGCATAGCCAGAAACTGTCCTGCAGAGCCCTCTGATACTTTCTCCTTTGAAAGCTCAGCTGATGCTGCCATTTATTTTGTTACAAATCACAGTGGGAGGACAGTGGTGGTAAGGACTGGGAAGCATGCCAGTCCTCTGAATAAGGTTTACCTGTCTAATGAAATCCTGAGTGTGATGGAAGGAGGGAAGGAAGGATATGGTAAGAACACCTCGAGTAAAGTTGATAGCTCTGAGGTGAGTAGGATGCTGTCAGACTCCTGCCTTTGGGAGTTGATTTAGATGAGACCTTAAAATCCATGTGAAAACTCTTCTAGGGGCTGTGTCCTGCTTATCCATGCAAGTGGAGTGTGTTGTGTTCCCTGGGTCCTTGGAGCCACGTGTTCCTGTCCTGTTTGACTCAGATGATCTCTTGAATATTTTCCCAGATCTGTAATTTAATTTCCATGTGCAGGTTTATATTCTGGGGAGAGAGAGACAAGAAAAATCTTTCAATGAATAGGAAGAAAATGAACTTCATTCATTGTTCTGCATGAAAAGTAGGAAAAGCATCTTGTTCTGGTTTTTTCTGGGTCAGCCCAGGTGCTGTTCAGGTGATGTTTCTACCTTAGGGCTGCATTTTGGTGGTGTAGTATGGCAGGGAAAGGCTTACTGTGAAGTCCATTAGTGCTTTTGAGGATGAAAGGTGTTAACTTGGGGCAGTGATGTCTGTGTACTGTGGAGCTGCTCACAGATGAAAGCATCCTTCTCTGCGCTCAGACAAGCAACCCTGAAGTTGTTAATTCCTTCCTAGATGTGTTGCTCTTGTGATCAGATGTCCTGGCTCACAACTGGGGGACTAATTTGTCTGAGGCAAAGTAGTGCAGCTGGGAAGGAGCCCCAGAGCCATCTCCAGTACTGCTGCTCTTTTTTCTTCACTCTGTGAATGGATGTTGCAGAACTGTGGGTTGCTGGTGGTCTCTCTCAGTGGGCTGCAGCTCCTGCAGAGCGTGATGTTAAAAATGAACCAACCCAGGACAGTGTTCCATGTCTGTGAAGGATCACTGGGGTCGATCAGGCAGGGTATTGGTGCTCTGGCTGTGCTTTCGGAGCGCACTGGGTGTTTTAGTGTCCTGCTGCATGGTTAGAGCAGCACATGCAGGATACAGGGCTAAATGCTGGATTATCCATGTGTGAGAGCAGTCCCATGGGGTTATCCTGCATCACTCTCCCAACATCTCCAGCAACGAGGCTCCCTTTGGGAAAGGTGAATCCAGTCTGTTCTGCCTCTGGACTCTTCCAAGCAGCAAAAAGCAAGTGAAGACGTTGTTTGTAGGTTCTTTTTAGTCTGGATGCTGGAGTTACCGACACTCAGAACCTCCCGCAGCCGCCAGTCAAGGACCCAGCTGGGAGGAGTGACCCGCATGCAAATCCCGCAGCCTCCAGCGAGCGCTGCTCGAGCCCTCGGGTGCCGCTGGGATCCCAGCGCAGGGTGTTTAGTTATTCCGGTCAAACCTCGCTGCCGCTCCTGGCTGTGTTGTCCTTGTTGTGCTGAAACAAACCTGCTCCAGGGCTCCAGCCCCATTATGAGGACAAAAGGACATCAGGCAGTACTGCTGCCGAGGGGAAATATGTCGGGAAATGTGTCTCGGTTCACAAGTGTGATGCAGAATGGGTGGCTTAGTAATGGCTGTTGTGACTTTTATCTGCTCAAAAGGCTTTTTTTTTTTTCTTGCCTTCCCTAAAATGTATCAGTGTGACATTGATTTTGGGGTAAGGATACACGCTGATGCTGAGAGGATTAATACTGAAGTGAGGATTGGTGGATGGCAATAAACAACCAGTTCTGAGGGAAAGTATTTATATATGAATCAGAATATTTAACACATCGAGGTTTGTGGGCTTTTTCCTGGTGTATAGGGGCACTGTGAAACGTATCACAAAGTGTCTGCTACTACCAACACTTTAATTTATTATTAACTTAGAATATTTTTACATCTCATTTATTCTTTCCACGGGGTGTTCTGAGCTGTTGAAATTATTGGTCAACTCTGCTTTCTCAGGGTTGTTTGTTAGGGTGGTGCCACGGGTGGATTTTGGGTGGGAGCTCAAAACTTCACCAAATAAAGGGAGAAGTCAGTTTTGAAGCGTTTAAAAGCTCTTTGGTTCTCTTTGGCACAAGACAGATTTCCTAGGATTCCTCTGATAGCTTAAAATGTTCTTTATTTCATTTGAGCTGTCAGTCTTTCCTTAAGAATCTCTTGCTGGCCTTTTTTTTAATCTAAGTGCATTGTCTGTGGAGAAGTCTTTAGCTGATGCGGTCCTGTCATGGCACACGGCTCCAGTAGTGCCTGGTTTTGAGTGTAAGAAAGCCAACAGAGATAAGTGAGGAATGGGGAGAGGCCCAACTGCACAACTCTTCGCTCAGTCTCTATTTTGGTCTGGTGACACTGAAAGCAGAGCCTGTGTCAGGTCAGGGCAGGCACGGCACAGCTGTGTGGGGTCAGAGCAGTCACACCCTGCATCCACTGGGACCCGTGGGGACACTGGGGAAGCCTGAAAGGGTCTGAAACTGGGATGTGGAGGTGGCATGATGGAGAACATAGGTAGAGGGGAGGGAAGAGAGCACTGAGGAATGGAATGCAGAG